GAGAGAGAGAGAGAGAGAGAGAGAGGAAGGAAGGAAGGAAGGAAGGAAGGAAGGAAGAAAGAAAGAAAGAAAGAAAGAAAGAAAGAAAGAAAGAAGAAAAAATAACTGCAGGTGTATTAACCCGGTTCACACAGTGACAGGAAGACCTGCCATAAAGATGAGGGCTGCGGCCTGGCCACAGCAGCCACAGCCCTTCAGGAACTCTGGTGAGAATGGTGCCCATTAAGAGACAGAGTGGCCCACAGCATAACTAAAGACCTGAGATGGTCTTTGAAAAGGAGAGAGCGGGCCGGGTGGTGGCAGTGCACAGATGGCCAGCAGCTTCCCACAGCTTGTTTTACCCATGAGAATAGCTGTCCTCTTCACAAACATACCCTTCTTAATTGCAGCAGTAATTCTGGGATTTAGGTCCAGTTGATCCAAGTCCATTTCCTCAATGGGCTCACCACGGGCATGAAAAACTTCCAGTGAGACACAGTGACGACAACAAATTTCAAGGTGCTTGCTATCAACTTGGATTACCTGTGGGAGTGGGCATGTTAGGAAGTGACACTTAGAGCCGGGCGGTGATAGCACACACCTTTAATCCAAGCACTCAGGAGGCAGAGGCAGGCAGATCTCTGTGAGTTCGAGACCAGCCTGGTCTACAAGAGCAAGTTCCAGGACAGCCTCCAAAGCCACAGAGAAACCCTGTCTCGGAAAGAAAAGAAAGAAGGAAAGAAGGGAAGAAAGAAAGAAAGAAAGAAAGAAAGAAAGAAAGAAAGTAAGTGACACTTCGAGCCTAATGGGACAGCGCTCAGCTCCATGGTTATCAGTGTAGTTAGGTATTACACTGAGGGTGGAGCTCAGGTGTCGCTGTCCTGGGAACACCATCCTTGAAAGCCCAGGATGAGGCTTCTGTTTGCTCCATCATCCTAAGGATTGGGCAGTTCAGAAGCCTAGACTCACTCTAGAGGTTGGCACAGACCAAATTTGTCCCTGACATCCTGAAGGTGGTAGTGCCTGAGGCTCAGTTGGGAGAAGAAAGCTCGCGCGTGTGCTCAACCTCCAATTAACTTCTTGGGGCATGTATGGGTCCAGGTCTACATGCATGCGTCTCACTCAGCATTCTCTAACATTTTGTGAGTTTGGGATTGTGAAGGGTGGGGGTGGGGGACCGGGACCACACCTCTTCAGAGAACAAGAGAGGCAGGACCAGTCCAGTGTTACAAAGTATGTGCCCAACAATACATTGCAATCTCACGCATGGGTTCAAATGGTAATACCAAGAAGCACTGTGTGTGTGTGTGTGTGTGTGTGTGTGTGTGTGTGTGTGTGTCTTGCTGTGCAAGTGTGAGGATGTTGAGGATGTGGAGATTTGGTACTGGGCAGGCATGGTGGCCTGTCAGTAATCCCAGCACTCAGAAGGCAGCCATAGGGCATCCTCAGAGCAGGCTGACCAGCCGATCTGTGAACCTGGGCTTCAAGAGAAACCCTGCCTCAGTATATAAGGCGAGTGATTGAGTAACACATCGGACATCAGCTTCTGGCTGCCACCCATGCACACATCAGTAACATCCAAACAGGCATCTAAGTGTGTATATGCGTGTACAACACGTGTGACAGAGAGTGAACAAGTTGCTGTTTTGGGAGCAAAGTCAATTACCCAAAGAAACCAGAGGGTTAGACGCGCGTGGTGTTTCACTCCTGCAGGAGCACTAGGAAGGCTGAGGTAGAGCAGCTGAGAGTCCAAGGCCAGCCTAGGCTACAAGCACAGTGACATCCCGTCCTTAAGAACGCCGGGAGGTGGCGGTGGTGGTGGCTGCGGAAGCGCACACTTTTAATCCCAGCACTGGGGAGGCAGAGGCAGGAAGATCTCTGTGAGTTCAAGACCAGCCTGGTCTATATAAAGTTCCAGGACAGCCAGGGCTACACAGAGAAACCCTGTCTCGATAGAAAAAAAAAAAAAAGGATATGGGGCTGGAGAGATGGCTCAGTGGTTAAGAACACTGGCTGGTCTTCCAGAGGTCCTGAGTTCGACTCCCAGCACCCACCTGGTGGCTCACGACCATCTGCAATGAGATCTGGCCTGCAGGAATACATGCAGAACACTGTTTCATGATAAATAAATAAACCGTTAAAACAAATAAAAGAAGGACGCCACCAAGAAAGTCACAGGTCAAGTCTGCAGCGACTGTCACGCCGTGGCTGGCCTGGGACAGGCGCGCTCCCTAATGCTGTTACTGGAGGCACCGGCGGGGAGGGCGGGTTCGACTCCCCCGAGCCCTGTTACGGCCTGAAGGGACGCCCGGCCGCGGAAGATCGTTCTCTGGGCGCGGCCTGGGCTGCTCGAAACCCACCGTGTCCTCGGGCCTCTTGCGTGGCCCCACGACCGGCCCCTCGCGATCGGCTCCGTCCCGACTCGGCCGCCTGGCGAGATCTCCCGCGCGCTCCGCCCGCTCCGGAAGCCCCGCCCATCTGAAGCTTCTCTTCCAATGAGCGTCTGGAGTCTGAGTCGGCCCCACCCAGCAGAAACGAAGAGTAGGCTACGTGGCTGATTAATTAGCCAATCGGAAGTCGCAATTTCCT